AAAGAAGAGGAAGAGGGAGGAGAAACAGTAGAACACAAAAGTTGAAAGGAGGAGCAGAAGCTTAATGTACTGCCGCCGCCACTTTAATTAATATTTATAGGTTATGCTCATTACAAGGAAATGACAGATCTACCCTTAGTCTTTACATAACAAATACAACAAAAAATAAGATTAAAATAAATAACAACTGAAACAACTAAATGACCAATAGCTAACCCTAGGMAGACTAGAACAYCTTCYAYCCTAYGAACACAGTGGGACCGTAGCTGTGGGGCCCACATCAGTGTTCTCTACAAATTCCAATTTGTTTGGATTGGACTAAACCCATAGCTAAGCTGATAATCTAATCTAGATTGGGGTTAAGGGCCGGGTGCCAATATATAACAATTGACTTATGGTCTTTGTGAATGACTATACAAGCCTTGGTTAACAATACACTTTGAGTTTCTTGAATTCTAATACTTTTCTAATTTGTTTGCATAATTGATATTTTCTTATTTATGGTTTTGATTCAGGTTTATTTACGATTTTGTGCAGGAACTAATCTCCGTTAGATTTTGGGAGAAGTAGAGGAAGTTTTCATAAACCAAGTATACTGAATGAAACTACATATTTCTGAGAATGGATGATGAAATTCGTATTAAGATGTGTTTGTGACTCGTGTTTTGAATGGAAAATGGATGTTTATATTTTATTTGTAATTGATGTTTTAATTTTTTTTGCATCTAGTTTCATTTTGGATGAATGAAGAGAAAATAGGTTATTTGAAACAAATTACAATTTTATTTAAAAATAAAAAAATACAGGCATTTGGATTTTGGACAAAATTCCATATTATTTTGGTAGGTAAAAAAAAATTAGAATCTTTAGTGGTAGTCAGGACTGTTGCTAAAAAATTTCTGTCTGCCTCTACATGCTTTTTTGGCGTCATATTGGAGATAACAATGGCTGGCACTAAAAACATATGCACCAAAATTAGAAAGTGCCAAAAAAGGTGCCAAACTTATAGTCCATTTACCTGGTAGTCGCAACTGCAACTAAACATACAATTGCCACTTAGAAAAATAATCTTTAGTGGTAGTTCTTGATTGCCGCTAAAAAAATAGTCTCTAATGAGCAGTAGTTTTTGGAGTTTTACAAACAGTCAAAAAAATTGCTACTAGAACTTTTAGCTACACCTATTTTAGTGCTCCTTTGGAAACTGCCATTAAAACTTTTATCAACAGTTTTGAGGACTTTTAGATTGTTTTGATTGCCGCTAAAAGTGATTTTTTCTATAGTAATAGGGCTTAAACATACCTTCCATCAATGAAAAGACACATATGAGGTCATTTAAAAAATTCCTATTTTGTCATTTAGGAAGAAAAGAAGGTGGGAGGAGAGAAGAGAAAAAAAGATGGCCAATAGACTGGTTTACTTAACGAAACAAGAGGACAAGGAGGGAGAGAGAGAGAGTTTCAACGATTCACTTAGAGCCTTTTTGTGTTCCACATGAGGTGATCTCATTTATTTGATAAATTGGATTTCAATCACTAAAACTTAATTTATGTTGGCAAAATGAGTGTGTTTTAAGTTCTATTCTTTTTTTTTTGGAAATGCATATTTACAAGTTTGTTATCATATTTCCTTATTTTGTATTGTTTCCGTCATTGGTTGGATCTAAAACAAAACTTCTATATTGCTAAATCTGACCATGTTGTAAGATTTAGAAGGATAAATGAGTTTGAAAAATCTTGGGTATATCTTGAAAATTTAAATGAAAATGAAGGATGCAAGAGCCATAATGTATATTTAAGTCCTTTTTTTTTAAGTTAAAGTATGTTTAAATCAATTTATGAAAACTTAGGTCATGTTTTGGTTCAATTCTCATTCTTACTTCAGATGAAATTCCAAGATGGAAAAAAATGAGTAAAAATGGGAAGAATGAGAAAATATTGTTACGAACCAAACACTTTTTTCTCAAAAAATGATTTTTTTTTTACAGCAAGAATGAGAATAAATTTGTAACCTGTTTGGTTACAAATTTCATTCTCATTCATTTTTTCGTTAATCAAAATAATAATATAAGGGTGTCAATGGACCGGTTTTGGATTGGACCCATCCAATCCAAAATCAATTTAGATGGGTTGGATGGACCAACAAAACATATTGGATTGGTCCTTCCGTAGTAAAAATTTATATTGGATTGGGTTGGATTAAGCCAATATCTGGTCAATGGAAATAAGGTAAGTATATAGGTTTTGATGGACCAAGTTTGGGTTGAAACCAATCTAAATCATAACGAATTTGAATAGATTGGACAGTCTATAACCAGAATGGTCTATTTCCTTGTCTTCTCTCCAATGAACATATATGCTTTCAATACAACAAAGGAAAGACCATGGTCATTCAGATTCCTGTTTGAGATAAGCAAGTTCTCATTTAGATGAATTCGTTGATATACAAATGAAAGGTCATTTGCCCATTCCAAGTACTGCTCATTTAGATGAATTCCTTGGTCTACCCCTAGCTCTTCTGGATCTTTAATGCGTAACAAACCACATTGAAAACATAGTCAATAGGGAAGCAAAACAAGTTTTGGCCTATTCAATAATTCTTTGGTCTATCCCTTAAATTTTAGTGCTTAGAAATATATCTTCTAAAGCATTTATGGCATTATCTTCTAATATCTGATTATCTAATGCCTTTGCTCCATATTTTCAGGAACATGTGTGACTATATGTTCCGATTATCTAAAGGTTTTTCTATTCTATAGGGAAGCAAAACAAGTTTTGGCCGCACGAAAGATACTGAAGAAACTCTGCCTATTTATCAAAAGGGCAGTCCTGTTTCTACCAGTTATTTCACAAATCCTACTCAAATGCCATCACAAACAATGGATACCATAAGCCTGAACAGCACCCAAGCATCAGAATATGAAGATGTTGAATCTGGTACATCTCTCATCTCTCTATTTCTACTTCAGCATTCTTATATCATTAAATGGATGATGCAAGTATGCTTAGTGATCTAGGTTGATCATAATTTACTTAATATGTTCACTATCAAAATCCTATGTTTCATTGCAAGTTTGCTGAAAATTGATATGGCAGATAATCACCAAGCAAGTTCCAGATACCATTCTTCTTTTGAGTCACAAGAATGTGAAGGTTGTGCTGTGATGAACAAGTTGGACACTGGCCTGTTGAACTCGAACTATCCAGTGGACTGTCAAAGTAAAAAAAATATAAAGAAAAACTTCCATATATCTTCCCTCCTCCTCTTCTGGTGTATTTCTCATCTGTTACAGCCATATGGCATGAATGTATTTCTCTGTGTGTGGATGTTTAGCACCATATTTAGATTCATGAATGTATTTCTCTGTGTTATATCCATCTTCCTGAAGTTCTCTTTGTTTGGTGATTCCAGGTGGTCTAAGATTGTACAACATCAACCAGGAAGAACAGATACAACATGACGTTTCGGGATGCTATCAGATGTTTTTGGATGCCCAGATTGCTTCAGAAGATGGAAGAATCTTCTTCAGCCATGAAGACTCAAAATTCGTCAACTCTTAATGTATTACATACAGTCTCAGCTGCTCTCCAGCAATGATTCAAAGCTCTATGTACGAATGGAATGATTTCTGCAGGAAGGCTCAAGCCCACAAGCTGTCACATTCCAATGGGCTCCAGATCTAATCTGTGTCAACCAAGTCTAGATTTCTATAGCTTTGTTTGCCCTAATTGTTATCATACCTATCAGTTCACCCAACTCTATATTAGCTTTGTCTGCCTTAGTTGTGCCATGTGTGTGGCTACAGATCAGTTACCATCTACAGATGGCCAGTATTGTTTTAAACTTTTTATTCCCATGTCTATGTAGGAGAAACCATTAGTTCATGCATGTTTCTGTTTCTCAATGCATTAATTGATTTGCAAAAAAAAAAAAAAACAAAGAATACAGATCTGTAATTTCATGTCCTTTCATACTGGGAAAGTGATTTCAAATCTATGGGTCTTGACTATTACCATCCATTGAATAAATTAATAAGGTTGTCTTCCACCGCTAGAACACTTCTTTTCAGATTGCCAATTTGCCATTTCATGATATCTGGGTCCACAAATGGATTATTTAGAATCTCGTTAATTTATCAAATTGAAATCATATCAAGAAAATATTATGTTTTGTTCTTTAATTAGCTTAGGTTGACCAACTCTCTTGCTTTTTAACCAAACATCGGCGAAGCAGACCATTAAAGAAGGAAATTGATTGATTTCTTCAATTCCATAATCAAATGAATATTTATATTCTAGGAATTCAGAAACTAGGTTGAGAAATCAGATTTTAATTTGAAGATTTCCATTTTCTGAAATGGCACAAATCCGAACCAACCATATTAGCAAATACCCCTCGGAATAATTGAGCTCAAGCCTGGCTCATACAATAAAATATCAAAATTAATATGAATACCTGCGAAGCTTACCTTAGTTTTCATCTGATCAAATTCATTCAACCATATCAGACTATATATTAAAGGGCGGTCTACCTTTTAACCATAAATTAATCTCAGTGGCTGCCTAATGACAAAGCTAGCACAGCGGTCAGCTCAGAGCAGACTGCTTAACTGATAAACCACTTGAAATAAGCGTTAACTGTTTAAGTATGCCCTTAATGGCAAAATAGTGGATTAGCAGTTTTCAGCGGCCAACCCAAAACCATGGGTACGTCTTAAGCTTCCAGTTCCAGGAGTTGTCTTTCCAACTTCTAAATGGGTGGTTAGGTGCTCACGATGGAAGAAACTCTTAATTGTATTAGTGCAAATTAACTATGGAAAACGTCAAACATAAAAAAGCAAAGCAATAAGATCAAGATAAACGATGGCAAAAAATTAACAGCAAAGCAATAAGGAAAATAACAACAACGATTTATACTTAAAAAAAATGTATAAATTTCATAAAAATTCGAACACACAAATACCAATAAGGAAAATAATGAAGAGACAAAAATTGATCAAATACCTTAATCGATGCTGCTTTCTTTTAATGCTTATAGGGATGATATTGGTGGTCAACCTAAAAGGGAAAAAACAGAGTAAGAAGAAGAAGAAGAGGAGGAGGAGGTATCCATCTTCTATGTGCAGCTTGAGAAGGAAATGAAAAAAAAGAAGAAGACGAAGAGAGAGAGAGAGTTTACCTTGGATTTGAACTCTTTGGATCGTTTCTTGGCTTTAGGACTTCAACAGGTCGAGATCGATCTCACCGTTACCTTAGTGAGAAAAAGAGAGAGAGTCGATCAGAGAGAGGAGAGGGACGAGGGTTAACTGAAACTCGAGAGGACTTGAGCTCGAACGAAAAGAAAGAAAGGATGGGGCACCCACAGATTTTTTCCATGGCTCAAATTTCATTCTCCGAAGAATGAGTTCAGCGGCAAAAAATGAATATTCAAACACCTACATCGGCAAGAATTAAAAGAATGAGATCACTAACAGCGAATCAAATTAGGGTATGTTTAAGTATTTAACCCTTATTTTAATAATAAAGTATTAATACATGGTGTCTATGAGACCTGTTCATGGACGAGTGCGGCTCGATTCATTCTAAATTGGGATTGGACATGATTTTAGGCCCATGGGCTCGGGCACGGGCTAGGGCCTAAAACATTGGGCCCAATCTTTTTTTAGCTAGGCTCGAATTTTTTCAAAAAAGTTCGGTTCGGAGCCCAACTTGATAATATATATTATTTAATAAAAATATATATATAGTAATTTTTTCTTTGTTCCTCTTCTGTTTTTTCAAATAATAGTGAGATCTTTTATTATTTTTAAGTTTTTAGGACTTTTAATATAAATAAACACTATTTTATTGAATAAAAAAGAAAAAAAATATATTTTCAAATTTTTGGCTAAGCTCAGGCCTGAAAACACATAGATAAAGCTCAGCCTGGCCCATGAACAAGTCTACTTTCTATAGCATAAAAAACCCAAGTCTAACTTAGGCCAAGCTCCTGAATGCATCAACCTGCTGCAAATCACATTTGCTATGACAATGTCATAATCCTGCACTGAAACAACGAAATCAAAGCATTTTTTTATGTCTTGCTGTGACCCCCACCTTGAATTAGAGCATCTTGGTGGAACCACTACAATACATGAAAGGCCTTGATTTTTGTTTTAACGCTATAAGTCGTAGTAAAAGGGAACCTGGTTGTCTGTTGCCACCATGACATTCAGACGTTAGGCTATGCTTGTTTGCAGTATACATCTCACTGAATATAAATTTTGCATTCAGTTCAATTTTACATATGTTTATTAGGCTGCGTTTGGAAGGGGTGCAAATGCAAATTGTAGAGTGCAAAACAAAAATATCTGATTCATGTGAATGCAAAGTGGTTTAAGATTTACACGCCCATTTTGCACTTAGCTCGTTTGTTTTGAAAGATGCAAATAGCAATGCAGTTTTTGTGGATGTTTGGCATTCTCACCACTGCAAATACAACTGTGTCTTGCTATCTAGTGTTCCAACCACTCCCGCAATTAAACAAATGATTGACCTGAGAACTTGGATGTTGGCCTGAAAATGATCGACGAAACAAGGGGGTCAAACGATTTCAGCCACTGAGAACTTGCCTTCAATGGGAAAAACCTGAATCGGATGTAGGCGGATGTAGGCCTTAATGCAGATGTTGCAACAGAGGTTCTAGTAATTTCCCTCCCCGATTGTTTTTATTCAATAGTAATGACTAGGGACTGCAGCATTTACTTGATTTTTGGCGAAGAAGATTCTATTCAATCGACAAAGAAGACTCGGACAGGGGGGTCGGCTTCTAGCAGGGAATGTTGGGGGAGAGTATAACAGAGAAGAGAGAGGACGAGGAGAGGCAACATCGATGACGGTTAGAATCGAAAAAAAGTAAAAAAAGATGGGGATATGGGCGGAAGTTATTCAGTGAGTTGCAGCGGCGAAAAGGTCCGATGTGTTGTTAGGGGCGATAAAGAGAGGAAAACAGAGAGAGAGTGAAGATGGAGGGGAGGGAAGAGGGGCTATCGTCGAGTTCAAACCCGCCGCTGGTTACGTTCGAAGCCGCCGCAGAGAACAGAAAGAAGGGAAAGGAAGAGGGTGAGAGAATGAGTCGGCGATGCTCGGTGGAGAATGAACAGTGGAGTTTTGGGGGGACGATGCTCCTCTGCAGCTGCTGTCAAGAGGACAGGGACAATGAACAGTGAAGTTTTGGGGTTTCGGGCGTAGTAGAAAGAAGAAGAAGAAGATGGTATTTCAAGAAACCTCACCAACGACTTGATGCTCAGATCTTCGTTTCTTATACCTCAAATCTCCGACGACGGACACTCAGATCTCAGATGCTCGGATGCTCGAACACTTGAATAGATCTCCGTTGCCTAGAAGTGGTCGTCGACTTGATGCTCAGATATCAGATGAATGCTTACACTGATAATGGAAAAATAGTCGTGAGTTCCAGTGGATGATGAGGGTAAACCCTTCGCCTATTTCCCTCGATCAACTTCTTGTGCCATTTTTACTTCGAAAAAATCGAAGTAGTTTTTCACCCCAAAATCGATGTAAATATTGACATATTTACAATTTACTTCGATTTTAGGTGTTTTTTTTACCATGTATCCAAATATTCGCAAATCCAATCCGTACTGAACCGGAATTTGCACCCTTTCCAAACGCAGCCTTAATTGATTTGTTTGGAGTTCAATTTTGCTACGGCACTGTAGTAGCGTATAGCTAAAACTGAAAACTACTGTTTTCAAAATCGGACCGGATCGAAAAACCGGGTACCAGTCATCCGTTTTTCTCCAAAACCGTTTTTTTCCACAAAATTATTGATTTTGATCAGTAAACCGTTAAACCGGCTGGTTAATCGTTCGAACGGTCTTGACCATTTTCTAATTTTTTAAATTTCTTTTATTTTTTTGTCAAAACAAGCCAATCATTTGGATCGAACGGTTGGACCGTTTGAACCGATAACAAGACCCCTAACCAGTGTTTTAAAAACCATGCTGAAAACCAAGGCCTTAGATTTATTGCTATGGCCCCACCAAGACGTCCTTCATCTCATATTCCCAATGTGGGGCCGTATCGAATCATCAAAGGGTTTGATCTTGTTGTTTAAATGCAGTGCTACATCAAAGGGTTTGATCTGGTTGTTTAAATGCAGTGCTACGATAATATTGTAACAAAAGTTGTTTCAGAACGAATTGGGGTTAATAAAGAGGACTGGGATGTATTTTCTCAGAATTCGCATTGGTTCTCGTAGAGTGTACCCCACATTTCAATCATGCATTAGGATCTGAAATGTGCATGTAAGATGGGAGTTCACATCTGCTCTCCATAATGTCTCGCAGCACATTCATGCCATGTATTAATAACATCTTGCGATGATAATATTATTAATTCTGATACTATCACTGGAATATGTCTTCAATACACCATAGGGATGTGCCATGAGATGTTATAGGGCTCAGATTTGAACTCGTAAGATGGACTATATGGAGAAGCCAATACAGACTTAATAGAGTTCGAATGGGCTCCCCACAGAATGTTCCCCACAGCCCATCCCTTGGGATGGCTCATGGCTGTGGGGCACTCTCTCTACGGGGGAGTAGGGAGGAATTAAGGAATAGGGATTATACAGAGAGCTCCGAATTAGCATGCGCGTCTCACAAGCACCCTACAGCATATTTTTCAGGAGCCCATCCCGTTTCGTCTCTCACCCTTTTTCTCACGCCACAATGAGGTTTGGTCTCTAAAACGGATTCGGTTCTAGACACTAAACAAGGCCACAGCGGTCCATTAACAGACGGATTCGATTCCAGTCCAGACTGAAAACGGATTCGCTTATCTTCGCTGCTGCGTCTTATAAAGTAAGAAAAAGAACACGCATGATCAAATTAACACGTGAGAAAAGGGGTACTAACGTAGTTTCCGCAAAAAACATAAAATCGCCACTGTATTTTATCACCGGCGTGGGATGTATGTAAGATGTTATCATCGGTTCCACTTCCACAGCCCGCTTCACAGCCAATGCGTTCAGCTAATCCCTATTACACTCTTTCGTCCTTCTTCGTTCTCACACTGCTACTCAACGGCTCTCCCTCTGCTTAACGGAACAACCAATCGTATTCTTCGTCGGTGGTCGATCTCTCAGGTTTTTTTTTTTTTTTGTTTTCTTTTGTTAGTAAAAAAATAGTTGGATCTCTGTTGAGTGTGACGAGAAGCCCTTTCGTCTCTCTGTTGAGTGTGAGACGAAAGGGGCTTTTCTCCTTGCTTGTAATTTCTTGATGTAGGTTCAGTTTTTATGTAATTTTTTTCGATCTCCTGTAATTTCCTGATAATCTTTAGTTGCACTAGTGTCCCGATGATCTCCTGGTTAATTCCTTTTCGATCTCATGCAATTTCTTGATTTTTTCCTAATTCCTTGAACCATCGCTGCTTCAATACAACTCGTCGTTTCAAAAGGCCACCTCTCCAAGATAAAACATTTTCTCCTTGCTTCTCTTTCAATATTTCTTGATTTCTTCGTTAATTCAATGGATCATCTCTTCGTTGTTTCAACTTTCATGATCCCACACCGTTGGGGAACTGTTAAAATGAGTTTTCTCAAGGCGCAGTAACCTTTCTTCATCCCACCATTAAACCGTGCGAAAATAGGAAAGTCGGTCAATTCATAGTTTTGAACGAATAGAGTTGAGAATTTTTCAAATAAGATATGTAAATAGGTTTTGGAACATAATTTTCAAGTTGCATATTCATGGATGGCTTTCTAATTTATATAAATACTCTTAGTTGTCAAATTATCCATGTCATAATGAAATTCATGTATAAAAAATTAACTTCTACAATGAAAAATGAGCTCACACAACAGATTATAATGGAATATATAACTAGTAATACTAATAAAATCTCAATCCGGAATGGATTATAGACTGCAAAATCTCAATTCGGTATGTTTTGTGGCAGACCCAAATCCTTTTACAGATCTGTTGGATCAATTACAGATTATAAATGGTAGATCCTACTATAATTGATTTGTAATGGGTCTACATGTACATAAGAATTACACGAGTATATGACATAATAATAAAGTTTTGTATTCAGTTGTATCTTGGTCTTGTTGGCTGTTTTTTTGGACAGAATTAGGTCTATTTCTTCTTTGTTTGATAGGTTCTCTTAAACAGAAAGTTGGGGCTGCTCACAAAAGTGGCTCAAAAATTTATATCATCTATTAATCAGGTTTAATTGTTCTTAACTGATTTATCTAGGTTCTCAATTTTAATAGATAATTTAGTTATTTGAAACAGATTTTGTGACTATGATACCACACTAGCTAGTGATTCTCTCCTTAGTCAGCTGCATGAGATGAAGACACTGACAATTTCAGCATCTTGGGCTGTAGAAGCATCTTGGGCATGCATAAACTTTGATTCAGCTCTTTCTCCTTTCAAACGTAAGGTCTGTTAGGAGGACTAATGCAAAATGTGGAACCCACTCCTAAAAACAAACAAAATATAGGAGATGGCCATGGTTTGTAATTTGACCCCATAATCTGTTAAGTTACATTTACCTCCCTCTTGGTTTTGGTCCAATACTTTATATCATTACCACCCCTTGGATTTACCTAATAACCTAGTAACCTACACGCTTTTAATTTAACCACCAAAATATAGGAGACGACCATGGGTTTTCAAGTTCCACCTTTGTTTATGGTTGTTGGTCCAAGTCAAACAGTGACCTTGAAATGTGAGTATAATGGATCTCATAAAGATGCTATATAAGGGACTTATAAAGGAGTTAATCATTGAGGTGCAGGAGATATCATAGAATGCTTTGTAAGGGTAGGTCTTTGTTGCTGATAGGTCTTAAGAAGAGAAAGAGACAGAGGGAGAAAGGAAAGTTTTACCATTTTACTTACCAAAGTGAGTTAACTTTGTCCCCTTCAAATTTGTTTTCCTTTCTTCCATTACTTGGAATTTGGAGATAATAGAGGGGCCCCTTCCTTTTAGACACTAACGCTAACATGAGGTGTGAGCTGAGATTCCTTGGATGAAATCAAGAATTTAATGAATACACATGCTCATGTTTCAGTTCATTTCACCATCTGTTTTTGTGTGTGCAGGTTGTTTAGTTTTGACTTTTGCAATTTTTATCTACATAATTTAATTGTAATAGTTGTTTGATTATGCTTTACTGCATGACTACTGTGATCATGTTCCAATTCATGTCCCATCATTTGACTTGATTGCTGTTTGGGTGGGAAGAGTTATATATGTCTTGTAACTCGCCAAGTGTCAACATTATGACTGAATGAGAAGGGAAGGACAGGATAATCTTCAATCTTGCATGATCAAACAAGGGGAATAAGCAAGCTGAACATGCATCTGTAGCTTGGATGTTCGCATAATTGCCTTATCTTATTTGATGATTTGCGCTGCACTCTTTAAACCTCTAGTTGACCCAGTATTATAGTTGTCTTTCTCCCCAAAGATAGCTGACTTGTACGATCATCATCATTCATATCTTATGTAGCTTTTCTTGAGCAGCAAAGCAACCACAATAAGGCCAAGCAAAGTGAGGTAGCTGTGTTTCCTGTGTCAAATCATGCCGTAATGGTTGTTCCTGTTTGCTTTGCTCATGTTATTTTAAGATCTCAGGACAATAGAAAAATAGAAAGTGAAATAAGATAGCAGGGTGTGGTCTCCTCTTTTGCATATTGTAGCGCATAGGACCTTTGTGTAGCCTTCTGTCTCTGCTATATATCATTAGCAGACTGCAGTCGGTCCACCCTTTAGTGGCCCTCTTCCACTGCTTCTTGGATCACAGTAAGTTGCAGTAATGGCTAACCCAATCACTCTCATTTGTTAACCCTGCCTATTTGGCCCCATCTGTTAGCCTTTAGATACCTGTGGCAACAGGTTCAGTTAGCCTTGTTTTGATGCAAAATTGCAACTAGTAGTTTGAGCTTGAAGAATTAACTTAGTTTGGGTCAGCTTTGTTCTCTCTCACTTCATTTTAGTATGGCTCTG